GGTCAAATAAATCCTTCTCCTTTGTTCCTGGTGGACAAGGACAACAAGCATCGCAAGGATCACAGATGCCATCACTTTATCAGTTACAGTCAGCCGACGGCACCGGAAGTTATCTTCCTACTTCTGCAAACCCAACAAAGGTTAAAACGACAATGCTATTCAACAGTCAAGATTTTTATACCTGGAGTTTCGAATTCGAGCTTCTTGTTCAAACTGCGGGATTCTGGCAATTGTTCGACGGTACAACACCCTTTCCATCTCGCGGCTCACCCCTTCAACAGGCCGCTTTTCGATCGGCGTCGCTGACTGCATACACAGTTCTCGTTCGCAATATGACACCGACTGAACAGCTTGGTATTCGTCCTTTTCGTACCAGTACCGCTCCCGCTGAAGCAGCTTGGTCATACCTGCAAGGGGTTTACATGGCAAAGGACACCGTCAACCAGAGAAAAATCTTAACGCAACTGTCAAATATACAGATGATAAACGGCGAGAAGGTGACGCAGTATATCAACCGCGCTCGAAATCTGCGCGACCAACTTCAGAAGTGTGGAAGATACTTCCCCGACGCTATGTTTCACACAGTGCTACTCGCGGGTCTTGGACCAGAATGGCGGCAGTGTCGCTCCATTCTTCGGATGCAAGCAACGTTGTCTAAGGGGGCACTTTGTGCTGCTCTCATCGCCGAACAGCAGGATATGGACCTGCACAACACTCGAGGAGGGGAAAAGGTGGTTAATAACACAGTCAGTTTTTATTCTACACCACGTCACAAGCCCGTGTGTTCCTTTTGCCGTAAAGCAGGTCATACCATCGATACCTACTGGTCGAAGGATAAGCCGTCTTGGAAGCGGTCTGCACCGACACACACCAAAGATTCTTCAGGTGACGCTGCGAAGCCGAACACTGCGAAGCCGAACCCTGCGAAGTCGCCTGCTACACCTGTCAAGACACAGGCAAAACAAGTCACAAGTCATTAATTGTATGACGTCAGTTTCTACCGTCTACGATCCTGATGCCGAAGACCGTATTCATAATAACTTCAACGATGAACTCAATACGCCTATACCACCCGAGGTCTACGCCAACCTTGCACATACCTTGGAGGGTCCCAACACATGGTACCTCGACAGTTGTTGCGGCCAGCATATTTGTTCCTCAGATAATCGTTTCGTCATCAATCAGCGTCGTCTTCAGAATCCATGCGTTGTCACCGTCGCCAACAGTCAACGTCTTACAGCACATTGGATGGGTAACATCATTCTTGATTCCGTTGAAGAAGACTTCAGTCTTCACCTTAACGATGTGCTTCTCGTTCCTCGACTTGGCTTCAATCTGATGTCATCTGCACAGCTTATGCGGAATGGGATTACTCTTCTTGGCGAACCTGGAAATTTTACTTTGAAATATGGAGACAGGAAACTCGGCACGGCAGTCGAACAGAACGGTGTATTCGTCCTCAACTTTGTACCTGAGCGCACCACTGCCGACTCCGAAAATATTCTCTCTCTCCGCCCATGGGAGCATCGCGATGACATTGATTACACCGACGATACCGTTCCTCGTGAGGATGTCATACCCACGTCTTCAACCACAGCAGCCGCTGTCATGCTGACCTTCGAAAATCGAGGCCTGAATGACGTGCAGAACTCCCGGGACTATCTTGCTCACGTTGGTGGTTGGGGAGATACGACGAACATGCCAACGGGTGAAGGCGTTTGGGGGGCACAAGAACCTGACGAGACTACTTGGGGAGAAACACCCGCTTATCGCGATCGTCGTCTTCTCACTGAAGCAGACCAGTGTGTCGCTGACATGGAAGTCCTCGACTCCGGACGACTTGTCGGCGTTGAGCCTAGACCTGCAGCATCAGATCAAGAAAGCGAGGAGTTAGTTTTTTCTGCCTGGCGTATCATGGATTATCGCAGTCGCCTTCTGGTTCCTGCCCGTGACTGTATTTTCTACAAAAATCTGACCCTTCCCGTCTTCGAACAATATCTCGCCACGCAACGTGACCCTGCTACTCTTTTCCACGGTGTTCGCTCATTCGCTAGCACCGACGCCGAACTCGCTGCCAGCGAAGAACCTGACCTCGACGGTGCACGTGAAGCTGCTCCCGATCTACCTATCCCAACCACTTCTTCCGGATTTCCGGAATTCATTCCTCTCGTCGATGCTCATCCAAAGGACGTTCACGATGTTCATCATACTTACCTCGTGGACGACCAACGACGTCCCATGCCAGTTGTAACTGACAGCAGCATCCGCGTCGATCCTGACGAAATTGGGGGGGCAAGTGGTGAACAGAGTGAACCTGTCAATTTCGCAGGTCAGACCGATGACAGCCCTAATTATCAAACTGGCCTTCAGATACTGGGACTCGCAGCAGCTGTACAGCACAACTCTATAGAGGTCGCGGAACCGAAAACTGCCCGACAGGCTCTTTCATGTCCACATCGCGAAAAATGGCATGAAGCTATGGATCGTGAACTGGCTGCCCTGGAAAAACGGGAAACTTGGGAGCTCATACCCATCGAAAAAGCCGTAAATAAAAATGTTCTTACCGGAAAGTGGGTCTTCAGGCTGAAGACGAAGGCTGATGGTTCTCACGAGAAATTTAAGGCAAGGTGGGTTGTTCGCGGTTTTGACCAAACTCCTGGGGTAGACTACACGTTAACTTTCGCCCCGGTCAGCCGACACACAAGTGTTCGTCTCGTCATCTGCGAAGCAGCTGCGAAGAATCTTCCACTTCGACAAATTGACGTTTCCAACGCGTTTCTGTACGCCGACGTCGATGCCGAAATCTACGTCGAATTTCCACACACCTATCCGACAAACCCGCCAAGTGTCTGCAAGCTCAAGAAGTCACTGTACGGTATCAAACAAGCACCGCGACTGTGGCAGCAGCATTTGAACAGAAAACTGATAGAAGTTGGCTTCAGACAACTGCCACATGATCCCGGGATGTATCGGCTAGACGACAAGGGGAGTTATGCGCTGCTCGTGGCATACGTGGACGACATTCTCTACGTCAGCTCGTCAGCTTCCTTGGGTGATCGCATCGAAGCAGATTTGAAGAAATCTCTCGATTTGACCATCTCCACCAAAGTGACCCAATTTCTTGGGTTAAACGTTTCTCGAACTTCCTCCGCCATCCACCTCACAGCATCAACGTATGCTGAGTCACTCGCTAAGCGTTTCAAAATTCCTACAGATTACGTCGCTACACTCTATCGATCTACACCCACCGGGCACGTCCTAAACAACACCAAACTTTCAGCAGCTGGCCTACAACTGTACCAGCTGTCAAACTTATATCTGCTATGGTCTATTTAGGCTGTAGTGGGGTAGCTCTTAGTGGGTACAACACTTATGTGTTTCCTATATGTACCCATCTCATTTCTAGTTCATTCATTCTTTCGTCTATCATTCTCACATGGTATAGAGCTAGTTTCGAGATTTTTTAAAAAGGGCCCACCACTGAAATTTCTCCCTTGCCTACTTGCCGCGCGCTTCGCGCCTTCCCTTCGAGGCCCGTCACGGCCCCTGCGCCCGCCCTTAGAGCCTGCGCCCGCCCCGTAAGGCCCCTTAAGGCCTCGTTAGGCCCCGTAAGGCCCCTTTAGGCCCCGGTTAGGGCGCGGTTTAAGGCCCCGTAAGGCCCCGTTATGCCCCGTAAGGCCCCGTAAGGCCCCGTCAGGCCCCGTTCGGCCCCGTTTAAGGCCTCGTTAGGCCCCGACAGGCCCCGTTAGAGGCCCCGTACGGCCCCATCAGGCCCCGTTAGAGGCCTCGTACGGCCCCGTCAGGCCCCATTTGGCCCCGTTTAAGGCCCCGTAAGGCCCGTCAGGCCCCGTTAGAGGCCCCGTCAGCCTCCTTCAGGCCCAGTTAGAGGCCCTGTAAGGCCCCGTTAGAGGCCCCGTAAGGCCCGTCAGGCCCCGTTATAGGCCCCGTCAGGCCCCGTTATAGGCCCCGCACGGCCCGTTATCGGCCCCGTACGGCCCCGTTATAGGCCCCGTCAGGCCCCGTTATAGGCCCCGTCAGGCCCCGTTATAGGCCCCGTTCGGCCCCGTCAGGCCCCATTTGGCCCCGTTTCAGGCCCCGTAAGGCCCGTCAGGCCCCGTTATAGGCCCCGTACGGCCCCGTACGGCCCCGTTATAAGCCCCGTCAGGCCCCGTTATAGGCCCCGCACGGCCCCGTTATAGGCCCCGTACGGCCCCGTTATAGGCCCCGTCAGGCCCCGTTATAGGCCCCGTTCGGCCCCGTTATAGGCCTCGTCAGGCCCCGTTATAGGCCCCGTTCGGCCCAGTCAGGCCCCGTTAGAGGCCCCTTCAGGCCCAGCCGGCCCTGCTGCGGCCCTGTCGCAGCTCTTCCCCGACGCTGCCCCGGCCCTGCTCCTGAACTGCCCCGGCCCTGCTAATGCACTGCCCCGGCCCTGCTCCTGACCTGCCCCTGAACTGCCCCGGCCCTGGCCCGGCTCTGCCCAGGCCCTGCCCCGGCCCTGCCCCGACTCTGCCCCGGCCCTGCCCCTGAACTACCCCGGCCCTGCTTCTGCACTGCCCCGGCCCTGCTCCTGAACTGCCCCGGCTCTGCCCCGGCCCTGCCCCGGCCCTGCCCCGGCCCTGCCCCTGAACTGCCCCGGCCCTGGCCCGGCTCTGCCCTGGCCCTGCCCCGGCCCTGCTCCTGAACTGCCCCGGCCCTGCCCCGGCCCTGCTCCTGAACTGCCCCGGCCCTGCCCCGGCCCTGCTCCTGAACTGCCCCGGCCCTGCCCCGGCCATGCTCCTGAACTGCCCCGGCCCTGCCCCGGCCCTGCTCCTGAACTGCCCCGGCCCTGCCCCGGCCGTGCTCCTGGACTGCCCCGGCCCTACCCCGGCCCTGCCCCAGCCTCTCCCCTGGTAAGAGCGCCGCGCTGCCGAGCCACACCGCCCTGCCGAGCTGCGCCGCCCTACCTAGCCTGCTTAGCCGAGTTCCACTGCTGCTACTGCTAGCCTGCTGCTTCTCCTGTCATGGCTAGTCTCAATGTTCTTACCTTTGATGCTGAGGGTCGGGCTGTTGACTTTGAGGCCTGGCTAGATGATCTGCAGCTTTTCCTACAGTGCGATAGCAAGGATGGTCTCTCACTGTTCGATCTCACTTCTGGCGCCTCTACTGCCCCTACTGCTGATGCTGACAGTACTGTTCGCTCGCAGTGGCTCACGCGCGATGCTGCTGCTCGTCTTGCTGTGCGCAACCACCTGCCGTCTACTGAGCGCGCGCACTTTAGTCAGTACAAGAGTGCTAGGGCTCTGTACGACGCTGTAGTTGCACGCTACTCCTCCCCTACCACTGCTGCCCTCAGCCGCCTCATGCTGCCGTACCTTTTTCCTGACCTTGCCGCCTTTTCCACAGTTGCTGACCTAGTTGCTCACCTCCGCACTAGTGACGCTCGCTACTGCGCTGCCCTTCCCACTGAGTTTCTTCCCACGAACTCCCCCCCATGTACATCACCCTTTACTACCTAGTCACCCGCCTCCCTGACTCTCTCTCCTCAGTCAGGGATCACTTTCTCTCCCTTTTCCCTACCGAGCTGACTGTCGACTTGCTAGAGGAGCGCCTTGCTGCAGCTGAGAAAAGTATCTTAGCTGTTGGTGCTTCTCGCGGTGACCGTCGCACCCCCTTCTTTGAGGGGTGTTCCCCTGTCCCCCTTCTCCCCTCTGTTGCCTCTGCTGCTGCTGTCGACCTCGTTGGCACTGAGGAGGTCGGCGCTGCGTCTGCCCCTAGTGGGCGACGCCGCACTGGCAAGGGCAAGGGAAGCAGGGGTGGTGGTGGGGGCGGTGGAGGCAGCGGTGGAGGAGGTGGAGGAGGTGGAGGTGGTGGTGGGGGTGGTTCCGGGAGTGGGGGCGTAGGTGGCGGCAGTGGCGGCCGTGGCGGCGGTGGTGGAGGAGGTGGCGGCGGCGGTGGTGGAGGTAGCGGAGGAGGTGGTGCTGGTCGCGGTGCGGCCACGCAGTGTGGAGGCCTTGGTGGCAGCCAGCGTCCGCAGCAGCTGCGCACCCGTGAGACCCCGTCTGTTCAGCAGCTTCGTGAGTGGTACGCTGGACGTGGGAGGTCTGGGGGTGCAGGTCCCTGCGCGTACGTTCTTCGCACCGGCACTCGTAGTGGGGAGGTGTGTGGTCTCCCACACACCACGCAGCGCTGCTTTGGCCGCTTGACTGACGCTTGGCGTACCCAGTTTCCTGACGCTGTTGAGCTTCCTCGTTGGCATGATCTGCTTCTGCAGAATGTGCCTATCTTTGATCTAGATTTTGATGCTATCCTTGCTGCCATGTATGCTCTTGCTGATATTACTGAGGGTGACTGTTACCTGCGTGTCCCGCCCGACCCGGGCACTGTGGCTGCTGCTCTAGGTGCTAGTGCGGCTGCTGATCTAGGTGCTAGTGCGTCTGCTGCTCCAGGTGCTGGTACGTCTCCTCCCTCTGGTACTGCACCTACTGAGTCCTTTCACACCTTCACACTTGACTCTGGTGCTTCGCGCTCTTTCTTTAGAGACAGCACCACGCTCACGCCGCTCCGTCGGCCTGTTGCGGTCTCCCTTGCTGACCCCTCCGGGGGACCAGTCCTTGCACACTCCTCCACGGTTCTACCGTGTCCTGCGGCCCCGTCGGGTTTGCTGTCGGGACTCCACCTCCCCTCGTTCTCTACGAACTTGGTGAGTGGAGCTGACCTCCAGGACGCGTGGGTTGACCAGTTCACCCCTGGAGGTCAGCGTGTGACCCACTGCACTTGCTCTCGGACGGGCCGCCACCTGGCCACGTTCACCCGTCGGCCAGGGTCGAGTCTGTACACACTGACTACTGCGCCTCCTCCGGTCCCTGCGTCTGGTCAGGTAGCTGCGTCCAGTCAGGTGTTTGCTGCTGCGTCCAGGTCTAGTCCTGCGTCTGCCCCCTGCTCGTGTCGTCCTCTGGCGCACGAGACTCTCCTCTGGCACCACCGCCTTGGTCACCCCTCCCTGCCTCGTCTTCGAGGTATGGCCTCCCGTGCTCTTGTCCCTGGACTCCCCAGGTCCCTCCCTCCCCTTCCTCCGGGGCCTGCCCCCACCTGTGTTCCTTGTGTCGAGGGCCGCCAGCGCGCCGCTCCTCACTCCTCCTCGTTTCCTCCGACTGAGGCCCCTCTGCAGACTCTTCACATGGACGTGTGGGGCCCAGCCCGCGTTCGTGGACAGGGTCACGAGCGTTACTTCCTGCTGGTCGTTGACGACTACTCGCGTTACACCACAGTCTTCCCCTTGCGCAGCAAGGGTGAGGTCACTGAGGTGTTGATCGACTGGATCCGCGGTGCTCGTCGCCAGCTTAGTGAGAGTTTCGGCTCCGACCTTCCTGTTTTGCGTCTGCACTCAGACAGAGGCGGGGAGTTTTCCTCCGACCTTCTGAGAGCCTTCTGTCGTTTGGAGGGCATCCGCCAGACGTTCACGCTTCCGGCCTCCCCGCAGCAAAATGGGATTGCTGAGCGCCGCATTGGCATGGTCATGGATGTCGCTCGTACGTCCATGATCCATGCGGCTGCTCCCCACTTTCTGTGGCCGTTCGCGGTTCAGTATGCTGCGCATCAGATCAACCTTCAGCCTCGTGTCTCCTTGCCGGAGACCACACCTACTCTGCGGTGGACGGGGAAGGTTGGCGATGCGTCCGCGTTCCGTGTCTGGGGATCTCGAGCTTTTGTCCGCGATACTACAGCGGACAAGCTGTCCTCCCATGCCGTTCCCTGTGTCTTCCTTGGCTTCCCTCCTGACGCACCCGGGTGGCAGTTCTACCACCCCAGCTCGCGTCGTGTTCTGTCCTCTCAGGACGTCACGTTTGACGAGTCGGTGTCGTACTACCGTCTCTTTCCCTACCGCACTGCCTCTCCCCCTCCCCCGCCGCTCTTCCTTGCCCCAGGTACTCCTCCGGTAGACCCCCTCCCCCCCCAGGGTCCTGCCCCCTCAGGTGTGTCCCAGGTAGACCCTGCCGAGCCGGTCGAGGTAGCTGTCGACTCAGGTGCTGCTAGGGGTGCTGACCCTGCGGGTGCGGGGACTGGGGGTGCTGAGACTGGGGGTGCTGAGTCTGGGGGTGCTGAGACTGGGCGTGCTGAGCCTGGGGGTGTGGCGCCTGAGGGTACTGTGTCTGGAGGTGCTGAGCCTGCGCGTGTTGAGTCTGGAGGTGCTCTGAGTGTCTCGTCGCGGCGGGAGCCCCTCTCTCCACAGCGGCTTCGTGAGTGGTACTCTCAGCGCTGTCGGGTTGCTGCTGGAGGTGCTGCTGGTGCGGGTGCTGCTGGAGGTGCTGGCGCTGCTGGAGGTGGTGCTGGTGCTGGAGCTGCTGGAGGTGCTGCTGGTGCTGGAGGTGCTACTGGAGCTACTGGAGGTGCTGGCACTGCTGGAGGTGGTGCTGGTGCTGGAGCTGCTGGAGCTGCTGGAGGTGCTGGTGCTGCTGGAGGTGGTGCTGGTGCTGGAGCTACAGGAGGTGCTGCTGGTGCTGGAGCTGCTGGAGGTGCTGCTAGGACTGGAGACCCTGAGGCTGAGGGTACCGGTTCTGTCTCTGCTGTTTCTCGAGGCGCTGCGCGGCCGCGGCCGTACTACGTTCCGCTTCTTCAGCAGGTTCTTGGCTCCCCACCTTCTCCTGGTCCTCCTCCTTCCCTGAGTCCACCGCCTGTCCCGTCTCAGTCGCAGTTACAGCCGGCCTCTCCGCTGCCTGGTCCTTCTCCTTACTCTGGTCCGACTAGAGGTCTTACGGAGCGTCGTGAGCCTGAGTCGCGTCCTGTGTCGCCTGCGTCTCGTTCTACGTCGCCTGTCCGTTCTATTCGCGCTGGTCGTGTTTCGCGTCCGCGTCTTCCTCCTGTCCCTGGCACTCACTCTATGACTCTGCGTCCTTCCACTGCTCCACAGCGTGTCCCTCTGCCCTCTCCTCCTGCGTCCTCTCTTCCTGACGGTCCGGACCCGGAGTCTGACTCGCTTCGTGCTGCTAGTCCTACTGTCACGCGCTTTCTGGCCACTGCTGTCACTGACCCCCTGTTTGAGTTCTCTGCTGCGTCTGCTCTTGTTGCTGAGCTTGTTGACTTTGCTGCAGCCTGTCGCCTAGACTACGCCGCTAGTCTTGTTGCTGAGTCTGCGTCTGTGTCTGTCTGTCCTCCGTCCGTCGGGGGTGAGTGTGCTCTTGGCACGGACGTCCTTGAGGACAGGCAGGAGGACCTTGAGTGCTTTGCTGCTGCTTCACCTCATCTCGTGTCCATGCTGCTTGCCCCTGAGGGAGACCCGGATGCACTAGACATCCCGACCCCGCGCTCTTACGCAGAGGCGATAGAGGGTCCCTACTCCTCCCAGTGGCAGGCAGCCATGGACGCAGAGATGGCTTCCTGGAAGTCCACAGGCACCTACGTAGACGAGGTTCCCCCACCTGGGGCGAACATCGTCAGTGGCATGTGGATCTTCAGGGTGAAGCGGCCGCCGGGTTCTCCGCCTGCCTTCAAGGCGCGTTACGTTGCACGTGGCTTCAGTCAGCGACAGGGAGTTGACTTCTTTCAGACCTTCTCCCCTACCCCGAAGATGACCACTCTTCGGGTACTGCTGCACGTTGCTGCTCAGCGTGACTACGAGCTCCACTCGCTTGACTTCAGCACAGCCTTCCTACAGGGCAGCCTGCACGAGGAGATCTGGCTGCGCCGCCCACCTGGCTTCACTGGGTCGTTTCCTGCTGGTACCCAGTGGAGCCTCCGGCGGCCAGTCTACGGTCTCCGCCAGGCGCCTCGTGAGTGGCACGACACGCTCAGGACGACTCTTGCTGCTCTTGGTTTTGCTCCTTCCACTGCTGACCCTTCTCTGTTTCCACGCACTGACGCTACTCTGCCGCCGTTCTACGTTTTTGTGTACGTAGACGACCTTGTCTTTGCTACTGCTGACACGGAGGCACTCGCCCACGTGAAGTCCGAGCTGCAGAAGAGACACACGTGCACAGACCGGGGTGAGCTCACAAGCTATCTTGGCTTGCGGATCACCCGGGACAGAGCACAGCGCACCATTACCCTGACTCAGTCACACATGGTGCAGCAGGTCCTTCAGCGCTTCGGCTTCACCTACTCCTCGCCACAGTCCACTCCTCTGCCTACCGGTCACTCGCTCTCAGCTCCACCTTCGGACGAGTCCGTAGAGCCGAGTGGCCCGTATCCAGAGCTTGTGGGCTGCCTCATGTACCTGATGACTTGCACACGACCTGACCTCGCATACCCTCTCAGCCTTCTGGCTCGCTACGTGGCTCCCGGCAGGCACCGAAAGGTGCACTGGGATGCTGCGAAGAGGGTGTTGCGATACTTGTGCAGTACATCGGGCATGGGGCTCGTGCTTGGAGGACGGGCTTGAGTTGTCCTCACTGGTCACGCTGACGCCTCCTGGGTTGACGACTTGGCTACGCAGCGGTCGTCACAGGGTTACACCTTCAGCCTTTGCTCCGGTTCTGTCTCCTGGCGGTCTACCCGCTCTTCTTCTGTTCTCAGCTCCAGTTGTGAGGCTGAGATCTACGCTGGGGCCATGGCTGCACAGGAGCTTCGCTGGCTCACCTACCTGCTGACCGACTTGGGAGAGGCGCCTCGTTCTCCTCCAGTTCTATACGTCGACAACAAGGCCATGCTGGCCTTGTGTCAGGAGCACAGACTGGAGCACAGAACGAAGCACATTGCTCTGCGCTACTTCCTTGCTCGAGAGTTGCAGCAGCGTGGCCAGCTTCGTCTTGCTTACGTGGCCTCTCAGGCCAACACTGCTGATGTCTTCACCAAGGCACTTCAGCCTTGTGATCATCAGCGTTTCTGTACTGTGTTAGGCCTTGTACCTACTGTGCCTCACTTGTTGACTTCTTGACTCTGCTTGTACTGTACTCTATATACTTATACCTGCATGCTTACACTTGCTAGGTTGTGTTCACTGTACTGTTTACTTTCCTTTATATAACTCTGCATGTGAACTGGCCTTATGGCCCTTTGCTTGTGCTCAGACTGTGTGGTGACTTTGTGATCCACCCTGAGCTTGCTTTGCTTTTCTTGACTGGTCTTGTGACCTCTTGTTCTCCCCCACTTTGCCTATGGGGGTGTGTCAAACTTATATCTGCTATGGTCTATTTAGGCTGTAGTGGGGTAGCTCTTAATGGGTACAACACTTATGTGTTTCCTATATGTACCCATCTCATTTCTAGTTCATTCATTCTTTCGTCTATCATTCTCACACCAGCAGCAACTCGGGTGTCTTCTCTTCGCAGCAGTCACATGCCATCCCGACCTTGCATACGTCGCAAGCTATCTCGCACAGTTTTTACGCTGCCCAAAAGAAGAACACCACCTCGATCTTCAGCGTGCTCTACACTACTTCGTCGCAACATCAACAGTCGGGCTGATCTTCAACACAGGAAAACCAACCGACAAAATGTACCTCAGCAGATATGTCGACGCAGACCACGCCGGTGACACGTCATATCGTCGGTCACGAACCAGCTACGTCTTCCGTCTCGAGCCAATTGGCCCGATTTCGTGGAACTCATCGAAACAGGAACTCGTGTCACTTTCCTCGGCTGAGGCAGAGTTCATTGCCACGTGTGCTACAACCCGAGAAGGATTATACTTACAGGAACTGCTCGACGAAGCAAAATTCGTCACGCCGAATCAGTTTGCGCTGCAGTGCGACAACCAGAGTGCAATTACCATCGCCAACAAGCCCAGCTTCGTCAATCGCACGAAACATATCTCACTGCGTTACTTCTTCGTCAAGGATGCGATCGACAAGGGGAGAATGCGCCTTGTCTACTGTCCCACTGGTGACATGGTAGCTGACTCGCTTACCAAGAAACTGACACGACAGAAATTTCACCACTGCAACCAGCTCAGCGGCATTTCTGAGGCAACTGGGTAACTACACCGAACTCCTAGAAGTGAAGGGGAGTGTTGAGATAATATCGAGACTTAAGCACTTCAAGGAATTCGTGTAGTACAGTGAGTATAGTGCGAGACTTCGCACGTAATAGTAAAGTACCGATAGGCTGACGCCAGCAAAGCGATACGCGCCCTAGGATGACGTCAGCAAGTAGCTATAGTATCAGAGCGAAGGTCTCGGGTTCGAATCCCAGTGTGTGCACTTCGGGCATCCCAGTGCGGGGGGGTGTCAGAGGTCCACTGGTGATCCCTGATTGATCCTAGGGAAGGGTTACATGCTCGTTGTCCTGGGGGGTTATGGGCGCACTGACCCGCTACTTAACAAGCCCTTTTATCCCAATGGTCTAGTGGTTGGGATTCTGACATATAGGCCTCGCAAATAGTCACGTACCGTTTCAGAACAGGAATAGCGTGAATGACACAGTACAGTAGGCGAATAGGTACTTTACTCTAGCTATATATTATGTATGCTTATCATTTTATAATATACTTGATTTCAGAGACATACCGTCAGGCCCCGGATAGTAGCGCCCCTGGGGGTATAAAAAAACACTGTTTTTTAGGGGGTGCGCTTATAATCGAGGAAATTTATAAGTGCCGGCGTTTATAAAATGGCAAAAATGAAATGTATTGTTTTAACATGAAATTGAAGCTTTTTCAAAAGAGGATTCAATCCACATCTAGAACATTCGTTTCCGTGCATGAAAACTGCGTGAAATGGCCAACAAGGCGTGGAATCACGCCCATCACGCCTTGCTGGCCTGGCCAGATTCATCGAACATGAATCTGGCCCATGCTAGTGCACACGTAGTTTCGGGTGCGACTGCCCAATCAGGGTCGCATGCCGTGCCAGGCACGACTCTGTACAACCACGCAATTGGCATCCCCGGCAAGATTCCACTCCACCGAGGCAGTGACCTCACCACCTCAGCTCCTCTGCGGGGGGATCTTGACAGTTTTCCCCCTTTCCCTGCAGAGGAACCCGGGCCGCGAAGTTGGAGGGGTCTCTTGCGAGGGTTTCAAACGAGGCTCATTCGCTTCGTTTTGTTCAGTTTTATTTTTTTCCCTCGGCCTGCCTAGGCCATGGCGGGCCTTCCTGGCACTCACTTCCTATTTAGCCGTCGACCTGTTGTTGGCAACACTCGCGAATACTCTCAGTGGCAGAGTCGTCGCCCAGCGCCTCCTGCTCCTCCAGCGCCTCCTGCTCCTCCTGCTCCTCCTGCGCCTCCTGCTCCTCCTGCACCTCCTGCTCCTCCCACTCCGCCTATCGTCGTCGTCAACGGTCGGCCCGTTCTACAGCTCCTCCCTCGCGGTTACTCAGCTTTCGACGCGTACATCTCTGAGCCCGAGCGCAGCGGCGACGATGAACCCGGCCCCAGTCTGTCGCCACGCTGGGGAGACGCGGAAGACTGCCCGTACGACGAATCCGCCACTGGTGCTGAAGACGATGTTGAGTGGTGGGCGGCCGACGGTCTTCCCGAGGACCTGCCTCTCCCTAGTTTCCCCCCGCCGAATAAGAAACGGCCCCACCCCTCCAAACAGAATCGTGATGCCCGCCCCCCGTCCCCCAGGAGCAAGCCTTCAACGCACAAGAGCAACTCCTACACTTCCCAGGAGAAGCTGCAGTTGATTGCAAAGTTGGAGTCCGGAGCTGTGAGTGTGCGGAGAATGTCCTGCGACACTGGTATCTCCCGAAAGTCCCTGTCAGAGTGGAAGTCGCGGAAGGGTGAGCTGGAAGGTGCGCATGGGGCTCGCAAGCGCCTTCACGGGCGTGGTCGGGCGTCGTGGTACCGCGACATGGAGATCAAGGTGTACTCACGTGTTCTTGCCCACCGGAAAAGGTGTCTCGCCGTGTTCGTCAGCCGATTGAAGAAGTGGTCACATGATGTGATGAAGATCCTGCATCCTGAGGTAAAGTGGGTTGGATCTCAGAGGTGGACTGAGCGTTTTCGACGGCGCTGGAACCTCACTACCCGAGCGAAGACCAGAGTCGACCAGAAGTTGTCGTCTGGTGAGACGGTGTTTGTGCTGTCGCTCTCGTTTATGGCTGCTTACGACCTTCGAAATTCTAATTTACTTCTTTTGTTTGTCTCTCCCACCCTTCCCTTGCAGAGTGTGAGACACAGGTGCAGAACTTCTGGAAGTTCGTGCGACACTCCCGCCGTCAGTACGGCATCGACAACCGCTGGATTATTAATGCCGATCAAACACCACTCTGGCTCGAGATGCCAGCTGAACGCACGGTCGAGGAGGTGGGGATCCGCTCCGTGCCCATCCGCAGCGGCGGCTATCAAAAAGAACGCGTGACGGTGATGCTCGCCTGCACCGCCAGCGGCGAGAAGCTCAAGCCTTGGGTCTTCTTTAAGCGCAAGATAATTCCTAAGGGGAATTTCCCCTCCGGTAAGCCGAGCAGCTTGTGCAGTGACGGTGTCATTTACATGTGATTTTTTTTTTTTTATGTCTGATGCTAATCTGTCTGTGCGCCTTGTTCGGATGTGCAGATGTTGTGGTCGCCGTACATCCCAACGGTTGGATGGACGCTGACGGCGTCCTCGCGTGGCTCGACGGGACGGTGAACCCGTATGTCAACCCCAGGTTCGGAGTACGCGGCAGGAAAGTGATGTTGGTTCTTGACTCCTACCGCGGGCACCTCACTGATGCTGTGAAGGCGAAATTCGGGGAGCTGAACATCGTCCCCGCCGTCATACCAGCTGGCTGCACCTCTGAGATCCAGCCTCTTGACGTCGCGGTGAACCGCTCATTCAAAGCAGCAGTCTGCGGAGATAACTACTACAACGGGAGCTAGACTACGGGCTAGGCACGGGTGCTCGTGTGATCTCTGCGTCCGTTGGTCCTTAGTCGTTTTCCTAGTGCACACACAGCTCGCTAGTTCACAGGGAGAATTGGCAAGAGTTTCACTAGAGAAAGTTGACAACAATGGTACAATGAAGTTGGCATGGCAAGACTACATCAGAGCTAGCATTCAGGTCGGTCGACTGCCAGCGCAGCATGGTCGACCGCGTTCCAGCACGACTTGGTCGACCGCGCTCCAGCAGTGCAAAGTCGACGGCGGGCCAACTTTGCAGATTGACGGCGTGCCAGCGCTGCTCACGCAGAACAGCAGCGCACCCGCTTCGCAGGTGCTCGCAGATGATTGGCGGGCTGAGCCTCGTCACCTGCACAACGCACACACCAAGTCATCCTCGTGCTGACGACTCCACCTGATCCGCCATGTCGACCTCGGGATACCACCCCCGAGGTCGGGCTCGCCAACTTCACCTGGGCGACCGTCGCACTCCTCCGCAGAAGTTCGTCACCCAGATAACCTGGTCGACTTGGCAACCACGTCGACCAGCTGCTCCCGTACATGCCCGTCGACCTCCCAAGTCGACGGCCACCTCCAAGTCGACCTCACCAGGTCGACCACGCACTTGGTCGACCAGC